GAATTTGTAGCTCTATGAATTAATTACTATGTCTAACTACAGAGAAGCAGATGCAGTGAATCACTAATGTCTCAAAAGAATGTAAATATATTCACCTTCATACTGAACTACCCTTGCCGGAATCCCAGGATAGTAATCTTCGTCATCCTCCCATCTCAAAGTAACCTTGATTTTGTACCACCTACATTACATGACTATCCTTTAAAAATCAAAAGAAATACAGAAAGTATTTGAAACAACATTCACCAGAACTCATCAATTCTGCTAAAACTTGAGCGTACCCTTGTTCGAAAAGGTCTAGATTATGAAACCTGTGAATGTAAATGGCGACTTCATGAACAGCATCCATCATAGAGAATAGATTTGCCCCTGCAGGACCCCGTTGCCCGACATTCAGCAACCTTTTGGTCGACATATTTCTCTGATTCAGACCCATAAACCATCGGAGTCTCCGAATCCCAAACATGAGTGGCACTGGCAGATACTGTGATACTGATATTCAATTCCCAAATAATCATCCCTAGTTGTTCCAGTAGAAGTTGAGGAAGACCCACAAGTCCTGAACCAAAATAAACCCCACCTTCTCATACCCCTTAGTTTCTATGCTTACTAAACCCATCAAGAACCTTTCCCTCTTCAAATATATATAGCTTTAATGTCAACTTGCAGAGCACATCTGTAATGTAGGTTTTGAGTTGAAGCAATTGATGGAAGAGAGTTAGGAAAAGTTGGGATGAAAATGGAGGAAAGGCAGAAGGAAGGTATGGAAAGAACTAAGAATGAAGACGGACTTCTTCGTGTAATCATTCGTGTACCTTGTTGGCACATAGCAGGGCTGTTAAAAAATAAAAAAATAAAAAACAAGAAAGAAAGAAAGAAAGCAAAGAAAAAGGCATCATTTTTTTTTGTCAAACCCTACAGGAGCAGGTGATGATGATGGCATTAATGATTGTTTTTTTTTCTTTTGTTTTTCTATTAAAGTCCCCGAAAAGATAAAAATGGGAACTTTGAAAAGTGCACCACGAGGTGGAAGAGCATGTCGTGTCGGTATAGCGTAGTCACGCGGCCTTGTTCAGCTCACATTACACTCCTGACGTTTTAGCTGTGGGGATCGAAAATCACGGGTCGTGATCTTGTCTGGAAATGTTTGAGTGAAAACTGAAATGCATTGATAGTCGAACAAGAAAGAACCTAACAACAGATTGCAAAAAGAAAGCCAAAAAATCAATTCATCATCCATCCCTTCAGCTAACAGTGGATGATCAAAGGTGTAAAAGGAGTTCACAGTAAAGTGAGCTTTTTTGGCTAATCTACGAGCAAGGCTAACAACATTCCTGTAAACAAAATTAATGGTGATAAACCAGTTTCGGTTTCAAATGCGAACAGCATGAGAAATAATATCTTGGAAATTTTGGTCGGCTTCATTATTCATCTGATCATCCGTTGTCCGTTGATAGATAGATCTCTTAAGTCATAAGTCTTATCTATTAAGTCATAAAAGTAAGCTTCTTTTAGAAAATTGGCTCAAGATGAATGTCCAGTCCTACTTGCGGATTTTACCAATTTTTCCAGAGAAAAGCAATTTTTTTTTTCCTTCTCTTCTCTTTTCTTTTATTTTCTTAGCAAAAAAAACCTTTTTATTCTCTTTAGCAACACATGAAAAGGAGGCTTTTAAAGTAATAATTTTGTTTTGAGAAAATTAATTATTTAATTCCTATAATTTTAATTTAAAGGTACACATGACTGAGGGTTCAAGTTCCCCTAGCTTTAAATAGAACAATGAGATAATATTAATAATGTTAAATATATTGATTTATGACTAAAGTTGTTAATTTGTGTTAAGGTGAAATTATGATTCAACATATTAAAATATGAAAAACAAAATGGAGTGGACAATGCTATTAATTTACTTAATCATAACCCCACTTTAGCACAAATTAACAACGTTAGTTATATGTCAACATATTAAACACATTATTGCCATCTCATCATCTTTACGGACATATTAAAAAAAAATAAAATAAAGAGACCAACGTGGTAAACAAGAAAAATTAGAGGGACCTATAGTAACAAAAAGACTTTAAAAACTTATATCAGCACACGTTAAAATTATATGTATTAATACTTCTTAATTCAACTAAAACTCGTTTCCTGACCATTGAATTGATGAAACTCAAGATATATCAAATGTTTCAAACACTAGCTTATAAAATTCATCCATTAACAATAATTTCGTTAGGGGAGATCCTAAATGCTAAAAATTTGATAAAACTATACTTGATTTTCAGTTTACTTCTAAAAAACATAGTTAATGTTTTTAATTTATTGTTTCTCCATAAAATTCGGCTCTTTCACTTTATTATGTATCATGTCTTTTTTATTTGCTCGACTTGACCTGACTATGCCCAATAAACACGTCAATAGGGTTCGGTCTAATTGTCACTACAAATTAAAGCCATATGAAAAGATAATTGACTTGGTAACAAGTTAACAAATTTGATCAAATAAAAAGTCTTAATAATAAAAAAACATTTCTTGAACTTCAATTCATCTATTTTTCTATAAAAAATAATATTTATATGAACTTCTAAATAAGTCCTTAATATTATCAATTCTTTTGTCTGTATGCATGGCATAGCCCAATAGTTGGTGGGGAATCATCTTGGATTGGAATTAGTCGGTAATATCATGTATACGGGATAGTTATAAAAATAATAATAATTGGGTTAAATTTTATATATTATTTTAGAGATAATGAAACTTTCAATCCTTAAATTTATCTTAGTTATTAATTTGATCCTTCAAATTTAATTTTTATCAATTTATTCGTTTATATTTTCTTAAATTATCAAATAAATCTTTTAAATTTTAAAATAAAAATTAACTATTAAAATATTTTAGTGCGTAAAGTATATTGATAATATTGAGAACAAATTAACTTGCATATTAATTTAATTTTTATTAATATAATCCCTTACTTTTTATTGTCTTTTTTTTTAAATTGTGAAGTATGTTTTTTCCCAGCTAAATACTTGCTCCCTCTGTTCAAAAATATAAAATATTTTTTGAGGAGTTGAATGTAAAAAAATGTAAGGTATTTTTAATTTTTTGAGATATTATCATTGCTTTTTTTTAAAAGTGCCCCTATTGATAATAACTTTATATTTATTGTAGGGTGTTTAATAGGGATAAATATGAAAAGATAGAATTAGTTGAAAAGTAGATAACTATTTTATTAAAGGGTAAGATTCGATTAAAAATGCCTTATATTTTTGAACGGAGGGAGTACATTTTTTTAAGGAAAAATGACAATAAAATTCCACTAAATTATGTATATAATAATTAGGTTCATCAAAATGTCATATTCCTTCTAAAGTCTCTAAATACTTTGCTAACATTAACAATTTTAGGTTAGACTAAATTTTCTCTTGTTTAAAATAAAAAATAATAATAAGTTCACGTGAGAAGTTGTAATTTCTTATTCAATTTTTATAATTTATATAATAAAAGTTGTGATTATTTAAATAAAAGTTGTAATTGATTATTTTTAAAATTTGCACTTCAATGATAAAAAAAAATTTCACATGAAAAGTTATGATTTTTTGTTCAATTATTATAAGTTACAAAATAAAAGTTGTGATTGCTTAAATCCATCATTTTTATTTTAAATAAAGGATAATTTAGTCATTTAACTAAAAATCATTAACGTTAGAATGGTATCTAGGAACTTTGGAAGAATTATGACATTTTTGAGGGACTTGATTGTCATTTATATATTTCAGAAAAATTTTATTGCCATTTTCCCCTTTTTTATTAATTTACATAGTTTTCATCAATATTTTGCTATTTATGTCAGCAAATTCTAATAATGTTACCTCCTTTTTAAACAATAATAACCAAATTGATAATTGAGATAAGTTTAAAAAACTAAATCAATAAAAATTAAACTTGAGGGATCAAATCAATAATTAGGATAAATTTTAAGGATTAAAAATTGCATTACCCCTTTTATTTTTTTTATATATCTTTCTCATGTTAAATTCCAAGTATTGTCAAGATTAGGATAGCTTCCTAAAAGTATTTTTTATATTTATATGGACTTGAATTTGAGATCTTAAGTTTAAGTAATCACAACTCATAAATACTATCATTGTTCTAGCAACACTTCAAACTATGGTTAACTGTGTTTAAAAAAAAAAAATCAAGGGATGTATAATTCAATTAGCCAAGAAAGTTGAGGCGGTTTGTTTCCGAATCTCAAGTTGTGAGTCATGAGGTGATGAAATTTTTTTTTTAAAAAAATTCATTTTATTGTTGTCGGCCAAAAAAATTGAGTTAGTTAGTTTCCTATGTTGAAAAATAACTTACTTCCATCCTTCATCTGGGTAAAAATCATCATAGCTGTCACGGGGAAAAATTACTGAACTGAAATATGTAATTATATGTAAAATTTAATTGTCCCTAAAATTTATATATATATATATATATATATTTCGGCCAAAAAAATCAAATATATATTTAAATTACAAAAGATAAACTAAAAAGATAAGTGAAATTATATGAATTAAAAGTGTATCCTCTAACCAAAACCTTATTACTAATTATACATTTATAGTAAATCCTCAAGTAAGTATATATATATTATTATGGTATGAATCTCGTTATCTCTTACTAGCTAAGATTTACTGCAATTTTTTCAAAGAATCAAGGTCATGTATTAAGCACATAGATCTCTTAAATAAATTAAATAATTAACAATCAATATCTAAAACTATTAGGATTTTGATCCCTAATCCTACAAGAAATTAAACTAATGGTTATTGTATTAATGACTACTGACTAGAATTCAATTTTCCTAAAACAACCCAGTTTCCTAAAGCATTCTAAGAAGAAGGAAAACCACTCTTATATATAGTAACGTTATCAATTAACTCGACATTCATATTCAGCTTCAAAACCAAACCTCACTACTCTAATCTTAATTCTTATATCGTCAATCAATGGCGTCCCATGATGCCAGCAACACCAATGTTGAGTCTCTTCCATCACATGTGTTATCTGAAATTTTCGCCACAGTCGCATCTTCTTCCGTGGCTGATCTCTACGCGCTCAAGACCTGCTCTAGGTCCTTTCAGAATCTCATTGAAGAAGACGACTACATCTACAAGCACGTGTGCATGCAGAAGATTCCTTACATTCCATGGTTCATCACGCCCCAGGAATCTTCCTTCTTGACTCGTTGCAAACAGAGCGGGAACCCAGAAAGCTTGTTCAGAGAAGGAATGGTGAAGTTCTTCAAAGAGGTGAAGACGGACTCGGGTCTCGAAAGATTGAAGGAGGCTTCACAGAAGGGCCATACAGAAGCAAGATATGTGTGGGGCATGATTCTGCTGTGCAGTGAGGAAGAAGATGAGAGGAAACAAGGCGTTGAGTTGCTGCGTTATCTGGGAAAGTTGAGGTGTGTGAAGACATGTAGGAAGAAGGTAAAGGAATTTTTAGGGATGATGTGGATAATTAATCGTACGTTGTTCGGGAATAATAATAATAATAATAATGGTCGTGATTATCATCATCAGCGTTTGTTGTGTGGTTCCAAGATGTGCCGTGGGTTGCAAGAAATCGCAAGATTGGAAAGAGGATGGCCGCGGGTGATTGGTGAAGAAGATGAAGACGAGGATATTTCATGTGAGTTATGCAAATGGGATTACGAGTTGCGTCAGTTTTATAAGATATATCGTTGATCGATGAATCAAATTTTGATTTGCCACTTTTTGATGGTGATAAGTAATATTATTTTTTGAGCTTTGAATATGGTTCTAGGTGATTGGGGTAGTTTAAATATGTTTATCTTTTGCAAAAGAAAAGGAAAGAAACTCTAGTTCGTGTGATTGTTACTTTTAATAGTTTGAATTTCCCTTTAAGTGGGTTGGATTTCAATTTTTCTACTAGTTCATGATCTCGAAAAATCAAGAACTATTCAGTGATGACGATGTGTACAAAATAAAAAGTAAACAAACAGGTTCATAATCTAGCCCTTTTAGTAATCTCAAACCTAATAATGAAGGATGAGTTTTCACACAAAAATAGTCACATGTTCTGATTTCAATCAAAGAATACATGTGCATACGTAAAGTTACTCTAATTAAACCTGACAATAATTAAATCCGACTCAAATTAAAAGGTAATCATGTCAGGGGGAAAAAAACTATATATTAATGTTTGTCTTTCTAAGCTTGGTCAAACCAAGGACAGAGCATTCGGCCGTCAAGAAAGAGACCAAATAACTGCTGCTCAGCCAGAGTGTCTACAGTACAGAGGAAGAATTCAGAAGGATAAAGAGACATGGAGAAAATTGCAAAAGAATATAATTATTAATTATGAATTACAAGTAGAATCTACAGATCACTAAATAAGCAGCAATATCATTTCAGAATTCAGATCAAGGCTCTGAGGGTAAAGATTCTATAAACTCCTGCAGTACTGGTTAAAAAAAATAAAAAAAGAAGAAGAAAGTAAAAAGAACCCAAAATTTAAATTAATAATTAAAAAAAAAGGAGGCTAGTACAGATAAATCAGCCTCCCCTTCCCCTTTCACTCAATATCAAGAAGTAGGAGATACATTGCACTTGCAGGACCATCAGCGTAATACAATAACCTCTCTTATTCCACCATAACCATGGATATTCCACAAGCAATGAATCAAATGACCTTAACCTTTTTATCCATTTACTTGCATTATTTGACTTGCAGCTACTTTCTCTATACAAGGTAAGCTCCAATTGCTTCTGGAGGATAACCAGCAATGGTATGTATGGACTAAAAACCTGAATCTATTTCCCCATTTTCCCTAAAATCATCTTCTTGCTCCGTTTGATTACCTATCTACAGGCCACTAAATCCAATCCATCGGATCACAAACTGCATATTGAAATCACTACTGGACCAACTTCACTCTCGCAAGGCCAGCTTATCAGATCACCACTGGGCTGAATTCACCCTTCGAAGCTTTCGTTGTGGTTTACGCTTCTCCACCACTGGAATAAGGTTTTCCATGAGCTGCAGGGAAAATTACAGGAGATTCAGACTAGATTCATTGTCAAGATTAAAAAGGCAACATATTTCTAAAATTGAAAGCAAAAATCAGAACCCCATGACTCTAGTCCCACTTGATTGTAAATGCTGCTTCTAACCCTAGTCTCTGGATGTCCTGGTAAAATTGTAAGAGTGTGAGGCTTAATTTCCCTAAACCCCCTTGGCATGACGAGTTTGCCATTACTCAGGTATGAGACGAACAGTTTTATAATGCGTTATAAAGTCGATTTCAGTCAGAGTTGGAGAATTAAAAATGAAAAACTCAGTTGACAAAACCAAAGGCGTGTAGACAAGAGCTTATATTATCTGATTATCTCCCAAATATATAAACACAATGTTCAGTATATTAAAATACTGATACACACAAATACAATCATGTGGATCCTTTTCCAAAGAATATGGAAATTATAATCCTAATTTCCAATTCAATAACTAATAATCATACTGAGGCATTGATGCAATCAAAGATAAATATAAATCTCTGTATCTCCGAAAAGGGTTACACAGATATCATAAAACGAAGAAAAGGTTAATTCAATTGATACACAGATCTCGACATGCTGTTGAAGAGTAGAATGAATTTCAACATCAACAAGACCTATATCTTGGGAATTGTTAAAAACTAGAGAAATATGCTCTGTATATCAGAACTTGCATTTCCTCAAAAATTAATAGCAAGACCTTCAATTAAAAAAAAAAAAAGTCTTCTGCTCATGGCTAATGCAGTTGAATATACAGACTTGCTCCAAACATTCTAATTTTTTAACCTCTGGTCATTTTTCCAGGCAATAGTATATCAATACCCAATAACTTGGTTTAGCTAGAATTACATCTATTTTACGCTTCCATCTCAACCCTTAGCTTCTGACAACCATTGAATCCTTTTTTTTTTTTTAATAATAACAGCAGTAATAATTATTCAATAAATTTTAGAAGTATCAAATCATATGTTCCAATTTCCAATCTAACACGCATGTTATCTATCAGCCATCAAATTCAATAGAAGGAAAGATTAAGCAACCCAATGAAGACATATATTGATAAAAAAGAACAAACACAAACCTACCAAGATCATGCATCTACATTGCAAATTTCAGAATCTGTGACCAACACTAGATGCCTAAGTGAAACAGTAACTGAAACTGGATGGGTATTCCCGTACTGAATACAGCAGTTTGCTTTCTTGCTAGTTCAACGATTACATCATTAATTGTATCACTTACACCAGTTATTCTATAAGAATTAAAGTTAAGAAAAATATAATTGAACTTTTCATTGATTAATAGTTCAAATAAAGTAGTAACAATGTGCTTTTCAGGCGTCCAATTCCAAATATGCACTAAAGGCAGATTACATTGGCCACAAACAAATTATGAATGCTCAATAACCTAACAGTACGATAAAAGATAAAAAGAATATAATCCCTGGAAAACAATCCCAGTCATCGTATTCAAAAGTGCTCAAGTGAGGCACTACTCAAGGCTCGCACCAGAGGTGCTGCCTTCAACCAGACATTGCTAGGCAACTGGCAAGTGCCTTTGGCACCCTTTTCAACTTTCAGGGAGAGCACCTTAGGCACTTTCGTGTGTTTGAAAGCAAAAAAGGAAAAGTTAATTCATTAGCCCTATCCAAAAAATCTAAGAAACAGATACGATAAAACCGGAAACTTCAAAATCTCTCAATCTTAAGCCTAGCCCAGTACTCAGAGATTTAAGAATAGTTATTCTTATTTTTAAGGGTTTTGTGAACGGCACCCCCAAGAGACCATAGCCACACACATGCACTATTGACAACCAATAGAACACAGCATGATTGACATATGGCTAAAATAATAACTTAAAAGCACATGTGATATCGTTATGAGATTTTTATGCTTGAGTAGTGATATTTGTGACAAAAGAAATGCATTTGATACTTAACATGATTTATGACTTGGTGATTATTATGTTTGAATAGTTACTTTATATGTCAAATGTTATTCCAAATTTACATTTATTTATCTATTCTTTGTACGCCCTTTACCTTTGACTACTTCGATCCTAGTCCTTGATCCACATGTTATAAACATTTTGTGTAGTACAAGCAAAGAAGTAGATAATCTACATACCTGGTTGAACCTCTGCTTCTTCTTTTCAGCCTGCATTCAAATGCCAATATTTCAATTACTCTTGAAGAAATCAGATTCCAGGCAAACCAACAAGACTAGTCTTTTTAAGAGGGAAAAAGACACAATCAACCAGGAGATAAGCCATAGAGAAACTTGAAAACATCATTTATAGTTGTCTTTAACTTAAAAGGTTGAAAAATTCATCACGCAAAGGCTACCAAAGAGCCATCTTTATAGGCTTAAGTGTATTTGAAAAAATGTGCGGAGCAACTTGAACATGACCATGTTAAAAAATATGAAACTTTAGTGATGCGTAATCATGGATGCAAAATACGCATTTAGTGAAGTGCCACTCTTCTTAAAAACTGTGTGCTTAATTCTCAAGAGCAAGATAGCAAAGCAACGCTTGAAGCTGCAGAGTTTATGGACATGGTCTGAAACTACACAAGACACTTGAATATGAAAGCATTTCAACTTTATAATCTTACCATTTCCCTCAACAGTTGTGCATTCGCTGCCTCGAGTTGTGTTACCATATTCTCTAGTTCAACTGTATATGCCTGTAAAGAACGTTAAACTGATCAGCTTTTGCAAATCAATTACCACTTGGGAAAAAATCTGAATAAACGGGGAAAATGGAAGTTAAAACTCACAAAATCGAGAAAACACAAAATGCTCAATAACCCATCCTCTATTGATTAAAGATAGAGCTAGCTCCCCGATATTATACGACTTACCAAAATTTTCAATCAAATCATCTTACCAAGCGAAACTGATTGACTAACAGCATACAATTGGAACAAATTAATTAATTTATAGAAGAATTATGTTATATAAGAAAAGAGAGGTAAAAATAGAAGGTGAAGTAACCTGCTTGCGTTCTCTGGACCTAGCTGCAGACTCTCTGTTTTTGATCATCCTTCTCTGCTTCTGAAGCGTAGCCTTATCAACGGGTTCCTCCACAACCCTCCTCTTCCCTCTTCCCGCTGATGCTGCAACTCCAACAACTGTCCCGTCAATCCCATTTCCAAAAACCTCCATGGATGGCCCCTCCTTACCCTGTACCGGCGGCGTCATCTGGAACTGAGCGCCACCGTTGATGGCAGCCGCCGCCCCCGCATCCACGCGGAAACTCGCATGTCCAGGTACTACGGTAGGAACTCCCCTCACATCCTCCTCTCTTACAGCCCCCGCCTTGGCCAAGAAATCCTCCAAAGTCATGGCCTCCAAACCCTCCCCTGCTGCACCCATCCGCCTCTGATCACCACCCTCCACCATCTCCTGCCACACCTCCTCCGCCGTCCGGTTGCCCAATTCCGCCGCAGCCGCAGCCGGGTGGAAATTGGGGTCCGGCGGGAGGTGACCCGGGTTGGGATTGTTATTAGGATCGGACGAAGAAGAAGAGTAAATGGACTTAAGGAGATCATCCATGCTCATAGAACCCAAGGCCTTGGAAGGGTCGTCGGCGCAGTTGGGGTCGTTGTGGTTGCTGGTGTTATTGATGTTGGTGTTGGTGTTGTTAGTGTTGTTCTGGAGATCAGCGAGCATAGAAGAAAGGGAACATATAGAAGATTGGCGTGGCAGATCCGTATTCGTCGTGACCAACTTCGACGACGCCATGCCGGTGCCGGATTTTTAGGGAATCCTTGGGAGATAACTCCAGGGATTTCTCTCAAGGTAAGTCCCACTCTCAGTGTATGAGGCTGTGAGAGAGTGAAATCGCTGCTATTTCGGGGTCGGGCTACAGAGTGAGAATGAGATATATAGCTCAGAGAAGACGACTCAGAAAAAAACAACTTCGAAAATACTATGCGAGGAGAAGAGATTGGAAGTTGAAGCAAAGAATGCACCCATATTTATAGAGACAAAAGAAAAGAGAAAGTTATGTATGCTGACAAAGTTAAATAAATATACAAATGAAAATTAAGTAATGCAATAACATTATTATTTAATTTTTGTAAATTTGTCTGATATTTTCATTTTTAATAAAGTGAAATATTTTCCAATTATTATATGTTAAAAATGATTATTTTAATTGAGTTATTAATTAAAATAAAATGAAAAATTAGTACTATTTTTAGAATCATCGCAGTTTAATATATTTAATTGTTATTTATATATTTTGGAGTATTTTTGTCATTCTTTCTTTTCAATATCTATTTTTGTTAGTTTTAAAGTGAAATATTTATTACTTTAAAGCTATAAATTAGATTTTAAAAAAATATAATATTTAGTCCCTATAGTTTTATCAAATATTATTTTTAATCTTTGTAATTTTTTCAATATTTTCAATTCTTATAAAAATAAAAAACACTGAAAAATTAAAAATTATAGAGACCTAAAAAATAAATATTATCTAATTTTGTTAAAATTATAAGGATTGAAACACTATAAAAAAATACAAAAACTAAAAATAATATCTAATAAAATTATGAGATCGATTATTGTGTTTTCCCTTTAAAAAAAACCAGAGGAAAGAAATCAATAGATAAATGACAGTTTTTGGTAAGTCCCAAAGCTTTTCAGTAAATTAGTTAAAGAACTTTTTTAAAAAAAAGTAAATTAGTTAAAAAAAATGTTTCTTTTTCTTAGCTAAAGAGAAAAATAGAATCTTCAAAAATATTGGCACCAAAATGAAATCTGAAGAATTAAATTAGATTTATGGGGTTGAAAATTTTTTATTAAATGAAAAAATAATGTATTTTAAAATAAATAATTATCATTTAGTAATTGATGATAATCAATTGGTTTAGAAAATTTTTGGCCCAAAATTGATTTAGAAAATGTTATTCATAATCAAAAATAAAAATGTCTTTAATATATTTAAGTGTTATAAATTTATAATTAAAAATAAAATTTAATAAGAAAACATCAATTTTTTTTTAAAATTCATAACTGAAAGAATCTTGGACATATTTTTTATCTGATTAATTTTTTTAGATATTTTAAAATATATTAGGAAAAGTGATAATAAAATCTCTCTATAATATATAAATAATAATTTAATCTCTCAAAATATTATAATTTTCTTAAAATTTTTAAAAACTTTCTATTATTAATAAATTTATATAAATTATCAAATTGTCCTTGTTGAAAAAAATAATTTACAACTTTCTTTCTTATGTTCATAACTTTCTTTTTCAAATTTATAACAATGCAACAGCAATCATAATTTTACATGTCAAATTTCTTATTTGTTATTGTATTGTTGTGAATATAAGAAAGAAAATTATGAATATAAAAAAAAGGTGTAAATTATTTATTTTCAATAAGAATAATTTAATAATTTTTATAAATTTATTAATGACAAAAAAATTTTAAAAACTTTTAAAAATTATAATATTTAGAGAAATTTAATTATCATTTATACATTTTAAGAAATTTTATTATTATTTTTCAATATATTATGAACTTTCGTAAAACACAAACATCCTTATCCGCCATATCTGTTTCTTGCATATGCCATTTGTCAAGACTGTACCTTTGTTTCAAAAATCAAGACTTGCCACTCCAATTTAATCTGGCATAATCTGTAATAAATTACTGATGAAAACTTTTTTTTTATAATCAAGTACTGATAAAAACTTACTATTCTTTTTATTTACCAGAATAAAAATTACTATTCAAGGAAACAATTTTGGTGACGGGATTTATTTTAAAGAAAAATATGAATTATTGTTTTGAAGGTTAAGTGATAATTTTGCTCTTAAATTATAGATTTACGAGCATTTAAAAATTTAAACTTATTTTTAATATCATAATTTTTTTAACTTTTAAAAATAATACAATATTGCCCTAGTGTTAATAAATATTAATTTTTACTATTAGTTGATAATCAAATTACAAAAACTGGGTTAAAAATTAGAGAAAAAATAAAAAAATTTCTCAGTCATTTTCTATAATTTTTTTAAGTCCTTGTCTATAATTTTTAAATCATTTCCAGTTATTTTTTATTCTTTTTTATAATTTTTGAAGTTGTTTTCTATAATTTTTAAGTTAATTAATGTAACATCTCGAATTTCTAATCATGCATTAATGAATAATTACAGAATAAATTAGTAACTTAATGTGAGATTAGGATTATGAATATTGAAGTGTTATTTTAACTCATTGAGATGTTATATGAGCAAATATGAGTAGAAGAAAGAAGTTACGAAGCAAAGTGTGTGAGCATAATAAGAATTTTTCTTACTATGCCATGCGCTGCAGCTGAGGATGGGTGCATCGCGGTGCATGGTGTAAAACTTTGATAAATGACTTTGTGTCTGCTCATGAAGAATAGAAGGAGAGATAGAGTTAGAGGGGTCAGGCATGGAGAAAGAACTAGGCTTTACTAGGGCAAGCGATTCCAGGAGAAAGTATGACGTTTCTGACCTATTACTTATCAGGTAAGTCTCGTATTACCTTAACCTCCGATTCTACCCTATTTTCTCTTAGGTTTAACTATTGAGAAATTGAATTTAAAAGTTTTAAGGAGATGATTTCTTATCCTATAATAATAGAAAGGTTTTTCGAAATTAAACTGGTATTTTGTGACTGGTTTGAGTCAGAATGATAAAATTTTGAAGTTGTAAGTACAATTTGCCCTAATATAGAGGGAAAGTAGTAAGAGAAAATTTGATTGTGAGAAAGTTAATACATGTTGTGAGTGAAGATTGGCTATAGCAAGTGTGTGTGAATACAATGAAAGTGATTAGGTGCTTGATTATTGTAATTGGCACTTTTTGTCAATAGTAGAATTGACTTTAGATGCCCAATTGTGTAGATTATCTTGTGTGTGATGTGTTGAAATTTACGAAACAGAGTAAAATAAGGTTTTGGGTACACGGGTAACCCTTTCTTGCGTACAGAAAGGGTTGAGGTAATAATTTAATTTATTATGTTTATTAATTATTATAACCGTATAAGAGTAAGAAATTGTTATTTTATGAGTTGTATGCATAATTGAGCATTTCAAATTATTTTAGCATGAAATTGAATTTTGAAATAAAAGTTGATGATTTTCCAACTTTGTTTTATATATTTATATGTATGTATGTGGTGGAAATTGTAGGAAAAAAAAAAGCAATAAAAATTTTGTTAAAAAACATGAGCATAGGGGGTGAGAGTTCACCCAGGATATCTGGAAATGCGTGTGAATATGTGAGTGAAAAATTCACATAGTCGAGATGGCGCCATGAGACATCCGGTGCAACATATTATATGCTAGTAACACGGGTAATCTGATACAGCACATTATAGGATTGTTATCATGGGATATTCGAGTAGTCTGCCAACTCTCTAATGCCCATGGTGCAGTTAGGAATCAACGACACCTCTATTATAAGTGTGTAAAATAAGGAAAACTATAGGCCATAAATAAGATAAATTACCTTTGGTCAAGTGTTTCTACCACCGAAAGTGTGCTCGGGTCAACGAGTGATTGATCTAATAAAGCCTATAATTTCATGTCGGGAAATATTGGAGGTTTGATGGCTAGATGATTATGCTAGTGTGTATTTATGTAGAAATACTTTGATATATATTTGCTATTACTCTAGTTTTGTTACTTTTTGACATAATTATTTGTGGTAATAGATATTAAATGAATTATATTGATTATTGAGATTTTTATCTCACTCGTGATTATTTATATTTTTTAGGTTCTCGTAGTAGAGTTGCAAAGGAAAAAGACATAGGTTGAGTTGATATATCTCATTAAAGCCTTTTTGTAAGAATTGATGTAATGAATTTGTATAGTATTAGTTATGAACTTGTGTATAAGTTGCCATAGAAAATTAAGTGCATGTGCATAAGATGTGAATATTATGTTTTGGTGGTTTTGGTTTCCTAACCTTTTATATATGTGTGAATGAAAATGTGCATATATGTGGATATAAGGTATAATCGGTATGTTTGTGAAAATTTGGCCTTGTATATGAGTTAGATGAAAATGTGAATGTTAGACTAAGTTATATGTAATGGGTAATTTATGGGTCAATTATGTGTATATCTGATTGGTTAATCAGGTGTGTATTGTCTATTTAGACGTGGTTAAGACCCCAAAAGTGGCCAATGACTTTTAGTTTCGATTGGTAATACTCAAGTGATAAATTTTGACTTAAAATAGTCAAATTGCACTCAGGTGTTCAATTTTCAAACGAAATACTAAATTTAAATAAAACCAGTGTCATTGGTTAAATTATGAAACAAGTCTTGCATAAATGCTTGAACCACCCAAATCGAACATCTGATGTGAAAGGCACCTCCTATTTTGACTTAATTTAAGTGAATTGCACATGTTTTCTTGTGGATTTAGAGGTGCTGTTGTATAATGCTTTTGCTGTGTACTATTTTGCAAATCAATTTTATTAGTATATAATTTTGGAAATATTTTACTTGGAATTCCAAATTTTTCAAAATAAATAATTTGAATTGATTAATAAATTGTGATGGAGGATTATATGATAATATCAATTAGGGCATTACAACTAACAATTAGAGTTAAATTTTATTAATGGTAAGGACAACATCGCATCACTTTTAAAAGTTAAAAGGAAATATTGTATCAAAAATGAATTTAAAGTCACATATACTCTTAGACTTATAGTTTAATAATGAAATTACCCTTTAACCCAAATTAACAATACAAATAATACGACTGACTATCTTAATATTTAAAAATAATAACTATTAAAATTAAAAGTTTAGGTGATGCTGTGAAGTATAATTATTACAATTTTAATGATATCTTCTTATTGTTAGGTTATCAAAAATTAATAAATTGTTGCCATAAAGTTAAAACCATTATAATTATGTAAGCAACATTAGAAAAGGATAAGTTA